TAAAAAAACACCCCCCCCCCCCCCCCCCCCCACAGATTTAACAAAGGCAGTATAAAAGCAGCAGCATATTTACAAATGAATAAACAAAAGATCACTCACAGAAAGGGTTTCAAAGGTCCGTTCTCTTCTAGATGTGTCTGGATCACTTGCTGGTGTCCAGCTGTTCCGTTAGGGTCATTTTGACTGAAAAGAAGAAAAAAAAGCTGCTCAGGATTTCATTGACAAACACGTTTCAATCCATCCACAAAAATATTTCAAAAACTGTGTCTGGAAGAATATCAAGCCAACAGCAGCTGGAACTTATTTTCCATTTGTTTAAGATGCTCCACAATTCATTTTTGTGGCTTAAAACCTGTTTCACAGCAGGCACATCCCTTCTTTATTAATAATTCAGCATTACAACATCAGGTCTGATCAAAACATGGCCACTTTCTTTGTAAGTCCATACGAGATAACTGCTGTGGAAATTAATGACTGTCAGCTCTTGTGAAAGAGTGTGTTAAGTGTGGACAGCTTTGTGCTCAATGTCAAAATATCAACAAGAACAGTTCTAGCACCATAACATGTCAGAGTTCTTACACACCTATTATATTGAGTCTATATTCAGAGAACACATGTCTTTTGTCCATATACAGTGCCTGAAGCCTGGAGTTCAACTTCCTGTCGCACTTTCTCTGACCTCGGCTCGTGTGTACTCCCTGTGGATGTGCACTTGTAACTTGTCTCTCGGGTGTAAATCCTACAAGTGTTTGCATTGCTGCATGTCACTTTCCTGTCTATTGATTTTACAACTGCTGAACAGGGAGCAAGCAAATACATTTTCTCATTTTCTCTGTGAGGGTTTGGTTAACCTGTTTCACTCAGAGAGCCATGAATGCAGAGACATTCAAACTAGCATTTAGAGCAGATCCAGGCCATAAGATACAATTTTAGTCATTCTACAGTTAGAGTAAAGTATCACTTTCCTGTCTATTGATTTTACAACTGCTGAACAGGGAGCAAGCAAATACATTTTCTCTGTGAGGGTTTGGTTAACCTGTTTCACTCAGAGAGCCATGAATGCAGAGACATTCAAACTAGCATTTAGAGCAGATCCAGGCCATAAGATACAATTTTAGTCATTCTACAGTTAGAGTAAAGTCAAATTTAAACTTGTTTTGCTTCAGGAACCAGATTTTACATTGGACAAGTGCAGGTTTGTTATTGTGAACTAAAACTAAACTATTAAAATAGTTTTTGCTCATTTAAATAAAGCTGAAATAAAATAAAATGTAAATATAAGAAAAATAAATGAACTGGAAAGTTAGAAACTAGATAAGATAGTTAGAAAATATTTTATATAAATATACTATAAGAAAATAAGTTTATATTGTTAAGTATAAAAATTACTAACACTAAAACTGAAATAAAAATTAAAGTTTGATCAAAATATTTGATTTGAAGTAATAAGTAGTAAAAAAAGACAAAAACACATAACAAACTTACTAAAATAACAAGTGGTGACCCAACACAGCACTAAAAATATTTGAGAATGAGAGAATGTTATTCAAACAATCCATGTTGGCATCTGTCTAATTTAGCTAGCTAAATCAGCTAAAGCTAAAAGTATTGGACACACAGCCTTGGACACCGACAGCAAACTATATAGTGTTTTCTTCTCCCTTATAAAGGTTTATGAACATATTTAAAATGTTACTGTAACGATGCAGAATTATAGTATGTGGCTAATTGCATTTCATTATTTGCATAATTTAGCCTTGAATTTTCCTTGTTGTCTTCAAGTCATGATAAATGTAAATAAGTGAAGGCAATACATTTAATGCATTTAATATTATGACTGTCACATGACAATGATGATCAACTAGCTAGAGTTCAATCCATATTTAAACCAGACAACATTGCTAAGCTAACATGACCTAATGACTGCTGTAAGGCTTTTCACACTACGCTTAACCTGGGGTTAAAAAAAAGCTAACCCAGGGTTAAGGCCACTATGACCTTAAGTAAATAAATATTTCACATTTTGAAAGGGAGTTAGCAGCACTTTTAACCCTGGGTTATGAAGTCCTGCTAAATGTTATGCTAAGTTGATTTGAAGTGCTAAATGTCTACATTTACACAACTGGGAGATGTTTTTGTTCACATCAACATTAACTAAATTTGATTAGTTCTTGCAGTTGCTAGCTACTGTCTGAGCTAAAGACACACTACATGTATATTGTGAAGGTGCTAGCATTTTACGGCGAGTTAGTTAGCAACCAACAACCAATCTTAAACTTAACAATTCTTGTTGCATGAAATATTCATGTGCAGTTGCATAAACTTTTGTGCTCTGTTTAATTTCATTACCAGAGAAAAGTTTAAAACGTAGCCAATATTACTAGCGAATTTATGAGATGATAATTCCACATGAGTACAAGTCACATATTTCAATTTGTCCAATAATATTAACCTTATAAATATGCAAGTAAGAAACTTAACCCCAAAGTTTACACATCTGAAATCCTGACCCCAGATCAATGTGTTAACCGATGGCCATCAGTTAACAATTTCTTGGCTCTCCTAAAAAGACACTAGACTCGAGACCCTTATATTCGTCTTGCTCTTGTTCTATCATTTCAGTTTGATGGTATTCCTACATACAGCAGACTTATCACTTCAGTGTTGTTTAAGTAGGCTATAGAAGTGCACTCGAACAACATGCCAAATTCTTGGCATCAACCACTTAAGGACTACACAAACAGAACACAAACTGTGCAGTCTCTGTATACACAGACACACAACACACACGCGACCTGATAGGTCGGGGACAAGAAACACAAGCCAAGAATACACTCATGCTGAAGGCATCTACCTCTTGACACCAAAAAGGTACATATATCAGAGCCCAGCGCTCCATATAACATCAGAGGACAAACGTTTAGATAAATCTAGCACAACAGCCCAGCCACCAAAATCAGGTTGAGGTGTGTGAGCGTACATGTGCGTGCTCCAATGTGGTTTTGCAACTGAGCACGCCTGCTCGTGTGTAACCTATAAACCTACATAGAGGCACCAGTCAAAGAGGCTCATAAACATCGCTAATATGACTACTAATCAATGCTTGAGTCGTTAGCGAACAAGAAATGATTTAGCAGCATCATAATGGAGCTTATAAAGGCATCAACACTGGAATCCAGGAAGGACACAAATGAGGTGTCAACACAATTCAAACTTCACGCGAATAAACCTCAATATCTTGTAAAGATAGTCCATGGGAAAGCCGGCACTGCATTGCAGTCCTGCCTGACCTCCAGCTCAGAGTTTCCCCTCACACCGCTGTCTGCCGCTATAAACTCATTCCCAACATCCTGCCTTACCTACCTCACTCGCCGGTCCGCGCGGAACTTCAGCATTTTCCTCCGGATCAATCATATAAGTCAGTGGGATGAGGCCAGGTGGAGAGAATAGCAGTTTTGTGATGCCGACAACAGCGAGCCTGTATTGCAGGAGCTGTAGGGTGTTGGATACAATAATTGCTGTCCTCTTTTCTCTCCTTGAGCATGTGTGCTGTTGCCAGCCAGCTTCACACACACTCTCTCTCTCTTTCTCCCTCACTGGCTCAACCTCTATATCTCATTCTGGCTCTCTTGCCTTCTAGAGCTGCTCGGCTCAGCTTATTTGGTTACTGGTTTCGTCCAACTCTCTCTCTCTCTTCCTCACAAACACACGTAGGGCCTCCTATCACAAATCAGATTGAGATGTAGATGCTACCCCCAAGCCAAACTGAGAAGTCATGACCAGAACTCCCCTGGGATGTCCATCACAGCCTTGGCTGTGGTGAAGGGGAGTGGCCCAGGCAAAAAACAAAAGACGTTATCCACTCAGGTAGACGGCTTTGCATCTGTACCAGCCCCTTGTCAAACCTTACCCAGAGACACACACATCACCTCCACATAGAAATAATGAGATCTGTATTTCACACTGAGACAAGCTCAGCATTAAAAGCACTAAGTCAGACGTATTAAAATGTCACTTTGTCATATATACTCAATTCAGATTGAATTTAATTGTCTATGGACTAGGGTTGAGCCGATAGATGACAGACATCACGATGTTAACCTGACATTGGTGCTCAGGATCTGCAAATCATTCGCCATCGTCCTATCAGACATTTCTCCTTACTCTGTGTA